TTTATTATTACTGCGCCCCCCCCCACCACCGTATAGGTCTCTCACCTATCTTGCTATCTTTCTCTCACACATACATAAATGACTTATCGGCGCGCGCTCTCTCTCGCTCTCTCTACCCCCTCTCTCTTTCTCTATATCTATCCATCCAACCATCCGTCCGTGCGTCCGTCCGTCCGTCCATCCACCCATCCATCCACTTCTTTCTTTTTCAGATAGATAGATGCTCTACTGTCTCCTACGTTCACGTTCTTAGCGAATCATCCCCCGTCTCCTCCTCGCCCATCATCCTTCTTCTCTCTGTTTACCGTCATCTGCTTCTTGCTTACACATTCTCTCAGCTTATAGTTTGCCTCGCCCATCTCCCCCTCTCCCTCATGCCCTCTCTCACCTCTCCCCTAGCCCTGCATCCATCGCTCCCCTCGCTCTCTCCTAGCAAGTCTCTGCCCGCGTTCTTACTTTATCGCTCAGTCTTCATGCACCTCGTCAAATCTTTAGCCCATGTCTCCTCTCGGCCACTCTCTCTCTCTCTCTCTGCGTATAATTATCTCTCACCCCTCTGCTTGCACTCTTATGAGTTTTTATGCCCGTCGCCTCTCATCGACGCAGTCATTCGATATCTCGCTGGCGTTATTAGATCCGTCGGCGGGAGGCAACGAGCGCATGCGTGCGGCGCGCACAGCAGCAGCGGTGCCTGATAATTATTTGGCATTCGTCCAGATCGCGGAGTCAGCAACGTCATATTGCTGCTGCTGCTGCTGCTGCTGCCGCTGTTGTTGTTGTTGTTGTTGCTTGCCGCAGCCGTATACTCTAGATATCTTGCCAGATATGATTTCACGAAAATTCTTCTTCGTGGTTTTTTGCCGCCGCGCGCAACCTGCTCCCTCGACAACAACACCGCTGCCGCTGCCGCCGCCGCCACCGCGCTCGCCACGACACCAGGTGGCGACACCCGACGCGCCCAGCTGCCCGAATTTTAAAGCAAGATCTTGCAGCGGTAGTCATAACACGGGGGGAGGGGGGAGCTCGCTCGCCGGCAGCTGCCGCGCGTGAGGGTCGCCGCCGCCCCTTTCCCCGCCCCCCTTTCACTGGCGTTTGCGACTGCCGCCGCGAGGTTGCGCTGCAGTCTCGCAGCATCAAGAATACACGCATCGCTGCTCATTCGCCACCCATTCTCTCGCCCACGCTGAAAAAACAGATTCTTGCCCCCCCCCCTCTCTCTCTCTCTCTCTCTCTCTCTTTCTCTCTCTCGCGCGCGCGCTATCTCTCCATCCCTCTTGCCCCTCTCCGTCCCTCCTCCTACTATCTCTCTCGCTCTCCCTCTCCCTTCCTCTCTTTCCCTCACTCTATCTCGCCCCCTCTCTCGCTCTGCCGCTCTTTCTCTCTCTCTCTCTCTCTCTCTCTCTCTCTCTCTCTCTCTCTCTCTCTCTCTCTCTCTCTCTCTCTCTCTCTCTGAGACGAGAGAGAGAGAAGAGAGAGAGAGGAGAGAATGCATCGAGAGAGAGAGGAGAGGAGAGAGAAGACAGAGAGACGGAGGAGAGGAAGAGAGAGATAGAAGAGAAGAGAGAGAGGAGAGAGAGAGCAGGTAGATAGGAGAGAGAAGAAAGAGAGCAAGTGAGGAGAAGACGAGACTAGAGAGAGAGGAGGAGAGAGGAAAGAGAGCATCGAGCCGCATGGATCGCGAGAGAGGGAAAGACGAGCAAAGTGGCGGTCGAGAGAGAGATGAGAACGAGAGAGAGAGAGAGAGACTGCGCCTCGGAGACGTTTCGTCTGCTCTCTCTCTCTCTCTCTGCTCTCTCTTTTGCATTTCTCGGTCCTTCTTTCTCTCCCCTATCTCTTTCTTATATATTCTTACGTATAACCTTCCTTTCCCTCCTTCTCAGCTCGCTTTAGTCTCTCTCATAGGATCTTCTCTTCTCCCGCCGCCTCCCATGCCCGGTCCCATGTCTTCGTGCGCCATCGAGTCCCCATCTCTACAAACGACTCTGCTCATCTCTCTCTATCACGACTCACTCGGCCGACCCACTCATCTCACTGACACGGTCGCCAAGCCAATTTGGGGCGTAAGTCCCAATCGGCAAACCAGAATGTTGTGCGCGGGCAGCAGCGACGCGGTCTGCCGTTGCGTGTTGGTGAAGCTGCGTAACCAAGGAGGAGCCGAGGATCGAGGAGGGGAGGAGGATGGCGTAGAGGGGGAGTAGAGTGTAGAGAGAGGGCGCACGCGCGCTGCGAGTGGCAGGGTGAAATCCGCGTAGTTCGATGTAGAGTCTGTCGGGGAGGGGTGGGGTAGAACCGGAGCAAGTGCTCGCACGGAGAATTGCGTGAGGCCCGTAAGCATTGTTTGTGTGTGCGGTGCGTGGGCATGTTTGTGTGTGTGTGGTGTGTGTGTGCTGTGTGTGTGTGTGGTGTGTGTGTGTGTGTTGCGTGGCGTGGCGTGTGTTTGTGTGTGCGTAGCGGTTGGCAGCGCACCGCATACGTTGTATTTACACACCCACACACGACGCGCACACACAGCCACACACAACCAAGCGCACACTACATACAGCACTAAACACACACACACACAACACACACAACACACACACACACACACGACACACCACACATCACAAGCCCTCTCTAGGCAGGCTTGAAGCGGGCAATGTTAGGGTGGACGCGTTCAATTTCAGCACGTCACTGCTCTCTGCGGTTACCAGATCTCAGCGGAGGCCGATGCGAGCTCACGCAAGAGAGGCGCTACGTACGCCTACGTGCAGTTATAGCTGCGCCGTAGCGGCCTGTGGCTGCAAACCAGGTGCGGCACTACAGCGACTGTCGCCTTCCGACCATGGAGTCCGACTGTCGGCTGGGAAAGCCTGGCAAAACGGGGCCGGGAAGCGATCTGGCGGCAACGCCGGAACGGTGAGAGAACTAAGCAGTAATTGATCGTGCGGTGTGGGGGAGGGAGGGGGGTCAAACGTCGTAAGAAATTACTTGTTATTGGGGATGCATCTGCCCTTGTTTTTTATTATTCTCTGTTTTGGTTTTGATTGATTAAATTCTGGAATGGCCGGCGCATAATTTTAAGCGGGCGTTTTTTTTACGTGCGCATTACTATAGTATTGCGCGCATGCGCCTGTTGCTATAGAGAGTTTTACTAGGTAAACGCAGAATGCACAATGCACTAAGTAGGGTGTAAGGGGCTAATTCTGGAATGCTTCTCCTGCCTCTACGCTTCATCATCGGCATGCCGCGCTGCTAAAGCGCACACGGCCAGTTTACGCAAGCGCGGAAAATATGGCGGCCTCGAGAGATTTTAGTATCTGTGCGGGATGTAATCGGCGCCACGTCTCGTCTTGCCTGTCTACTCTGCATGCGGCGCCAGCTCTGCTCCCCCAGCACGCGCCGTGTAGTTCTCGTTCTCCTTGCAGCATCCCCCGCCGCCGCCGCAGCAAGCAGCCGCTGCAATAACAGGCTTGCGCGGCGACGCGAGGAAGCGTGGTGATTATGACGGACCTACACGCGCGTCGTGAAACGCCATGCCGGGCACTGGAGCAGAGCCGTGGTCGCGTCCCGCTCGCCAACCGATTCTCTCTCCACTATCTCTCTTCTCGCGCGCGCTCTCTCTCTCCCGTGCTCTCTCTCTCTCTCTCTCTCTCTCTCTAATCATCTCTCTCCTCTCACGAAAGGAAAGTTATCTCATGCTCTCGTCTACGATATCTCTCCTCTCTCATCTTTCTCGAAACCGAGGCTGAAAGTCAGAAGTGTGCTTTCTCGTCTCTACCTTTTACTGTCTCCTCTCTCGGTTGTGGCGTGTGTGGGGCCTCCTCGACACTGTCTATCTCTTGTATCACTGTCTTTTCTGCTCTATTAGCGCTCCTCTCTCCCGCAATTTCTTGTGTCCTCTCTCACTCGTCGGTCTTTTTCTGAAATCTCGGTTGGCTTTCTCTCTCCTCTCCTCTGTCTTCAAATCTCATAACTCGTTCTCTCTTTCTGGCCTCGTCTTATTTTCTCTCTCGTCCGTCTCTCTCGTCATCCTCTCTCTCAGTTCTCTCTCTCAGCCTTAGCTCTGCCGTCTCTCCCTGCTCTCTCTCCATCTCTGTCTCTCTGCTCTCTCTCTCTCACCACTCACTCTCACTCACACGCCTTCTCGTTGCGCTCTTTCCTCTCTCGCTCTCTCTCTCTCTCCTCTCTCTCTTCTCTCTCTACTCCCTCTCTGCGGTCTGCTCTCTCTCTCTCTCTCGTCTCATCTCACGCTCTCCCTTGCGCTCTTGCGCTCTTGCGCTTCCTTTCTCTCTTCTCTCTCTCTCTCCCTCTCTCTCGTTCCTCTCATCTCTTCTCCTCTCCCCTTCTCTCCTCAACTTCTCTCTCATCTCTCTCGTCTCTTCTCTCTCACTCTCTTCTGCTCTGCTCACTCTCTCTTACTACCCCCCTCTCTCTCTCTCTGCCCTCCTCTCCCTCTCGCTTCTCTCACTGCGTCGCTATCGGCAGCTGCAGAACGTCCGCATATATACGTCGCTGCAAGGCTGCGAGCGTTTAGCTTCGTCAGGCAGCCTAGCGCGGCCACCGTGTTCGTGTGAACGCAGCCAAAGCTAGCTCTCCCTCCCCAGCGCAGCCAGCCCTCCCTCCTCACACACTCGCCCGGCTCCAGCTCGTCGGAGTAGTATCCATCGCATGCCCCTCGGACCGCAGGCTCCCGTTGATGTGTGTCCAATAGTATTTTGGGGGGCATTGCGATTCAGACCGCTGCTGGTGGTAAGCGGCTGCGTCTTTCGCGCACTGCCCCGGGGGCGGAGGGTCAACGCCGGCTTCCTCTGTTGCTGTCGAGCTTCTCGCGTTTCCAAGAGATTACGACTCTACTGTCCGCTACGAGAGCCGCCTGCCGTCGACAGTCGTCCTCTGGCTATCGGCGTTCGGACGTCGGTCTGCGGTGCTGTGGTTATGAAGAAATGCATTACCGGAGGAGGAGATCAGGTGGGAGGAGGGTTCAGCCCGGTGAGGGGGCTATAATTGATGGCACCAAGATGGCGCTCGCGGCACGCGAGTTTTTAAACGTAGGATGCGGCTGAAATAGATTGATAAATTATTCCTGACATCATGCACCATGGGTCGGCGTCACATGATTCGTTTGCGAAGGTAATCAATTCACCTCACACGCGATCACCATCCGTTTCACAGCACAGCGACGCATCGTCCGCACGCCGACCGACGTCCGCACACACCGCGCACGCGACCGCACCCGAAACCGACCGATCCGCACCCGACCCGGCCACCCGACCACCGTCCCGCACCCCGACCACCGTCCGCAACCCGATGCACCATCACGTGTCACGCCACCCGACCCACTCGGATCCGCACCACGACCACCGACACGCAAGCCCGATCACCCATCCGTTCACGAGCACAGCGCGAACACCGTCCGACCCCGACCACGTCCGCACGCACGACGCACGCGACCAACTCCGCCACCCGACGACCCCGGACCACCGTCCGCACCCGACCACCGGCGGACCCGCACCCGATCACCCATCCGTTCACGGGCACAAGAGAGGACCGAACACCGGACCGCAGCCGAGGACCACGCGACGCGCACCCGACCACCGTACGCACCCGACCACCGACCGCACCCGACCACCGACCCGCACCCGGAACCACGTCGCGCACGCCGATCACCGACCGCACCCGACCACGCGTCCAAGCACCCGACCACCGCCCGCACCCGCCAACGTCCGCACCCGACCACCGTCCGCAGCGCCAGACCGACGCGACCGCAGCCCGCCACCGTCCGCACCCCGACGCACCGTCTCGCGCACTCCGACCAGCGTCCGCCACGTCCGACCACCGTCGCCGCACCCGACCAATCGTCCGCACCACCCGACACCGTCCGCACCTCACCACACGTCCGCACTCCGGACCCACCGACGCGCACCGCGACCACCGACCGCACCCGACCATCGTCCGCACCCCGACCACCGACCGCACGCCGACCACCGACCACCGACCGCACCCGACCACCGACCAAGCACGACGCGACCACCGACCGCAACCAACCGAACCACCGTCGCCGCAGCCCCGACCACAGACCGCACCAGACCACCGACCGCAGCCCGACCACCGTGCCGCAACACCGTCCACCGACCGGCACCGACCAACCGTCCGCACCCGACCCACCGACGCGGACGAAGGTGGGCCGTCGTTCATCCCGAATCACGTCGCGAGCGTCTTTGTTTTTGGCGGCTAGGCCGTCCAGCAGAGCCGCCGCGTGCGTGCGTGGGCGACCTGCGTTCGTGGCGTGCCGTGCGTGTGAGTGGTGGGTCGCGTGAGTGGTGGGTGCGTGCGTGTGAGTGGTAGGTGCTGCGTGCGACCGCGAATGCGCAGCTAGTGACGTCATGCGGACTGCGCAAGGCCGTGAACAGGCAGGCGATGTACGCTTAAGCGCATCAATGTTTTTTGCGAGCTCCGAGAAGAGAATCGAGAGAGAGAGAGAGAGGTACATAAAAGAAATATTCAGTAGAGAAAGAGGGAAATATGGAGAGGCGAAGAGAGAGAGAGAGATAGATAGGACAAGGCAGGCAGGAAGGCAGGCAAGACAGAGAGGGGAGGAGAGAGAGAGAGGAGAGAGATGAGACAGAGAGAGAGAGGAGGGAGAGAGAGACAGAGAGAGAGAGAGAGAGAGAGAGCGCGCGAAAGGAGGAGAGAGTGGTACAGAGAGAAATATATTAAGAGAAGGGAAAGTATGGAGGAGCAGAGAGAGATAGATAGGATAGTAGATAGATAGATAGACAGACAGACAGACAGACAGAAAGAGAGAGAGAGAGGGGGGGGAAGACAGAGCGAACGAGAGATATACGGGCGTCGCCTGCAAAAAGCTGGTTCTTGCTGGGCATCGAGTGCGTGCGTCGCCTACCCAGCCCCGCTCATTTCTCCTTTCTCTGCTCCCTCATCACGGATGCATGTGGCGTTTTTTGTGTTGAGGCCAAAAGCCGCGCGCAATAAATTACGTAAGCCGTCGTATGTGAGTCAATGTGACGTGCGCGGCTCCAATGCAGCGTAGCCTAGCGCATAAACACATAAAACTCCCAGCAACGGCTTTACGCTGTTTTTATGACGCGGCGGTTTTTACGCTGCATCACCCTTTTCACAGCCGATAGTGTAAACGCTGCGGTATTACGCCTTTGTTGCTACTGCTCTGCGGCTGCTGTTGCACTGCTGCCTAGGCGGCTGCTGTTGCTACTGCTGCTGCGGCTGCTGTTGCTACTGCTGCTGCGGCTGCCTGTTGCTACTGCGCTGCTTCGGCGTGCTGTTGCTCACTGGCTGCTGCTTGCTGTTGTTGTTCTTGCCACTGCTAGCTGCTGGCTGAATGATGATGATTATGATGATGCTACGTTCCTGCTGCTGCTGGTGGGCTGTTGTTGTTGTTGTTGTTGTTGTTGTGTGTTTGTTGTTCCTGCTGGCTGCTTGTTGGGCATGGTGGCGGCGGGGGCATGTATGATGTTACTATTAATATCATACGCCGAGAACTTCAGCCTACATGAGCATGGCGTGACATCAGTAATTGCTGGTTCGGCGGCTGTAATCGGCTAGGTCAGTGACAGGTGCAACTGTTTTGACGACTCGCAGCACGTAGTTCACTGTCGTGTCGGCGCGGCCTGCCTCGTTCTCACACAATCCGCCAGCCATTACCGACCATTAGGCGAGTGTGTGTGAGAGAGAGAGAGAGAGAGAAGAGAGAGAGAGAGAGAGAGAGAGAGAAGAAGAGAGAGAGAGAGAGAGGAGCAGAGAGAGCGAGAAAGAGAGAGAGAGAGAGAGAGAGAGAGAAGGATGAGATATAGTGAGG